ATATATATATATATAAACGCGACTGTCGTGAAATTACAGATGAAATACGAAAGAGAATGATCAAACAAGATCTGAGACTGGATTAGGAACATTACGTTCCGTTTGGTGGAGTTATACTTCAATCGAGCGGCACCGTGAGTTACAGGTGTGACTGAAGTTGCGTTCGACGCTGTTTGAAATATGGTCACCCCTAAATTGTGAGTAAATTACAACTTCCTTCTTCTTGGCTGTGGTGGTCAGTTTGGGTGGAGGGCATGTATGTATGGAGTGTGGTGTGTGGGGTTATGGTATTTTCTACATAACCCAAAGGTAACAGGGTTCTTCTCATTGAGTTTTGTTTGTATAATTGAATAGTATTAACTACGGGACATTTAGGAGAAATTCAGCTGTCTCCCGTCAACACCAGGTCTGGTTGAAGACCGGTTTACGTATACGTATAATTTAGTTATCAAGTAGAAAATGAGGACCACGATTACCTGATTATTCCGAAAAAGAGCCGAAGCAGTAGTGATGTGTCCAGGGTTTTCACCGACCTTGTCGGCAATATCAAAATGTTACATATAGGTTGCTCCAGGCTTGGGAATATGACGGATCAACACTATTACAGGATCGAACTGGAAGTAATCGGGTGCAAAACATTTATTGAACGGGCCATCTGGTCGACCCCGTTCATGCTGTTGCCATACTGGTACGCGATCGAAACCGGAAACTGTTAGCTTTCTGTGATTCAAAATTGGTGAGAAAACAGCAAACAAAATTGTGTGCACATACGCTGGTGATTCAACCTGTTTGATCGTCCCAGAACCAAATCTTACCAACCTTCTTGCTCAAGGCAACGATGCTACTCACCGTCGTCATCAACTTTGTTGCCTATGAGCGCTGAACACTTCACGTCTGAGATTGACAAAAAATGTTTTGTTTGGGAACACTTCATATCTTACAGTTTCTTTTTATTCTGATAAGATGGGTCAAGAGTACTTAGTATATTTAAAGCTGAACAAACGACAGTTGGTGACGGAGACATTGGTAAATAAGTGCACAAACGAACTTGACATGGCTTGCCACAAACCGCTAATGAGTGAATTGGAGGTGGGAAATTTCGTGCCATCTGATTACAGGTCCATAGGATATCGCTTACCATCATCACCGCTCAAACCACCTCTGTTGGAAAACGGCGGTCATCGGTGAACATAAGAGTATATATTGGTAGAGATTTCATCCTGTAAGTGAAGCCAATCTATGCGAAAAAGCTGAGAAGCACTTCTCGGCTTATCAGCGCACCGAAAATTAAGTGGATTTCGGTCAATCGACGAATCTACTTGTTGTGTCCCATTCATCATTATTAGCAGCATACACAACGGCGTGTGCAATACTACAGCAGATCAATAAGGTAATCCCAAGTCACGAGTCCCAATTAGCCTGATGTTATTCAACTGAACTTCACTGTTCACATCACCTGCAAACACCAAGCACCAAGCCGTCCATAGAACGAAAATATTTTCAGCTCATATCCCATAAAATGGTGCAGACTAACTTTCAAGATTGTGACGGCATGCTTGATTAAATCCTCCCAGTGAGTCACGTGCTCGACGACTTCGGACATCACAACCGCGTCAAATTGCCCGGGCATCTCTTCGGACAACTGCTCAAGGCTCACCAACCGGTATTCAGGTGGACGAAATGTAGGTGAAGGCCACTTACGTGCAGTCATTTCGGCGTGGCTCTGAGCGGTCCGGATGGTCTCTTCAACTTGATCTATTCCCAACACATTAGCGCCAATTGCTGCCAGAGGCTGTTCCGAAATACAAAAAACGCGTAGGACAGTTCGCTGTGGTGAAATTTGTCCAACCAAACAGAACAGCTAAGATAGATTACAGGTGAGGAAACAAATTAATCAACTCAGCTATGTGCCAAAAACCGAGTGGAGTATAACTGTGGACATATAATCAGTTTGGTCAACTTTGGTTTTACAGCCAACGCAACATGCATCGTCAGGCCGTTTACGACTGCACCACGGCGGTCAATATGCTGCCAAGAATTCAAAGCTTTAGGATAAATCGGAAACCATCGCGCGATCCGGGCCAGGGAATTCCCGGGCGATATCAGGCGCCTGAAGCGACGAATTATGACAGTTGACAGTTGTGCCATAAAGGGGACCAGTTTGGATTCAGTATCGAATGGAATTTAACAAAAAATAAACTAGAAAGCATTTGAATAAATACATCAGAACCACCAGGCGAGGTGCTAACTTAGCCATTCTCCTGAATGATAGGGGTGGGAGGTTACATAATATCCCGAAACTAACATGCAGTATGAATCAACATAGCGCATACACGTTGTCAAGCCTTCATTTTCTCGACGTATAGGTGGCTTACAGAATAGAAAGGTCAACGATCGAAGACACTCCATAAAAACGGCAAACAAACACGATAGACAAGAACAGACGCAAGGGTAACTTGTTTCTTGATACGTTAGACGCGGTGAGAGCCAGGGGAGAGAGACGCACTGTTTCAAAGTGAGCTGTTCTTTGGAATAGTGTTTAGTTTTACAATAGGTGACACAGCAGTGAGTCCTCCGTGTCGCACACTATCGCCTTGTAGTAACAGAACCCGTCATTGTTACAGAGCGCAGCTCAGCTGGTGACAGCATCAAACAAAATGAACCGAACACAAATTTCTCAGTAAACATTAGAACTTCGTACCCTGATCTGTGTGCTCATGGCTAGTTAGTATTAACAGCCCATCTGTTTTCCAGTATTCCGCTTAGCCAATGAAGCTGCAGTTCTTCAGCACAAATAGAAATCAACCGATCACATGAATGCTCATACAAACGCCACGCTTGACTCAGTTGGTCTGGGATACGGAAAATCTTGGAAAACCAAACCTCTTTCCTAGTTTGATGCGAAACCCCAAGTGTCCATTGTATAGACCACAACTAATTCAAGTAAGATGTCATAGACAGTCGACTACCGTCAAAAATGCTAGTTTCCGAGAAACATCAGTTACCATATGGTGAACGAATACCAGTGCCGATATCACAGTAAAATCCACTACAACTGTAGCTCAAATAGTAACCGTCTAGTATACCTCTGACAGAATGCCACCACCACACCCGACGTCTACTATGCGCAATCCCGCCAGTGGAGCGTAGGTGTATTCCTTGGGTTTTGTTGTGTCCTGTGCCACTTCGGGCGGTCGCAAACCGTCTCGTATGAAGGGTATTCGGAGGCGATTCATCGAGTGCAAAGCGTGCAGCTCACCTGAAGATACAGGGAACGAAACGAGACACTTGAAAGTTGGGAGGAGCATTACCATGAAACGCGTAGGTCCAGCAGACAAGGTGACACCGAAAATTACTGTATGACCCGATTTGCCCTAGTTGCAAAGGTGGAGTAACTTCATGTACACTGTTCAGCCTCAAGTGCAAAATGAAAAGGGGACAACTTCTCGAAGGACAGACAATTTTGCGGAGGTCACGTGTGTTTCAATATGGTTATGTGTGCACACACGAGAGCGGAGAAACGAAACCTACAACTGTACGTATGTCAGTGGTCATGGACAAAAAAGACGGACGTTGTAGCGTACCTTATCAGGGTCGTAAAGGGAGAGGTGCACTTCTGGAAAAAATGATTTAAAATGTACTTCAGTGCATTCGTTCAGCTGTAGCACCCTTTCGGTACCTAACTGCTATGCCACCAGAAGGAAGCACGAGGGCTGGGATACTGCATGGTTACGCAAGCCTAGACAGGGGAATTCGAGAGGCAGAGGTCGGATTCAAAATACGGACTTTCGGTTCAGTAAATCTGCGCTCTTGCCACTGAGCCATCTCGCGTGAGCTACTGATCGGATCGTCCGTGGTTTGAGTCCGATCTTGGGTTCGAGCAACCTTGTATAAGTTCGACCTTCATACTTCCTTCGGGATGCATGACAGCTGTAAACCGAAAGGATGCCACAACTGAACCATGCTCTCTATAGTTGTATATGGCCATCTACAAATTGCTGACAGAAACTCAATTTCGAGCGCTAACGAAATTTCCTATTTTACATGCAATCTTTCAGCTTATACGAAACGAACGTCTTTCCGAGTGCCGTATGAATTTCTCTTGCTCTTGCCACTGAGCCATCACGCCCCATCTCCGGAGAATTCAGTCAGTATTGATTCGAGATAACGGTTTACTACGAAAAATTGAAATGTACGTAGACCTCAGTCATGAAAGAAAACTGAAACAGGCGATGTAAAAGTCAAGTGAAGTTATTTCAACCCCATAAATTGTCACGATCAGTCTTGAACCAGTCGAGACATTTAAAAGTGCGAAATTCTGAAGCTGTTCGGAGTGATTGCCTGTATTTGTCGAATGAACCGACTGTTATGACAACATGTCTTCTGAATTGCCATCGCTAGTTGTTTCTTATCCACAAAAGTGGTACCTTAGGGTTGATTTTCTGTTGTCCCGCTGTCATATCAGATTTGAGAATATTAAATGAGGTTTCCTTAGAATTCCCCTTATCGATGTGAATTAATGACCTCACCAAATGTTTTACATTGTACAAATCGATGGGTCTGATGTCCTCGTTTGCTTGGGTCAAAGGCTTCTTTCCTATTCGTCACATCAATCAATGTCAGAACAATCTTATCAAGACTGACGGCTTGAAGTCACCCCAACAATAAATTTTTACAGCATAATTGCGTGTAAGCAGCCCCAGAGAGTTGTGGCAATATTTAAAAAGGCATTTCCTCTTACAAGTGCTTTCAACTCGATACTGTAATTTAGAATGGCGGCGGTGAAGCTCTGTCCAATGCTGCCGGGCCAGACTGAGCACCATCTTCTCAAAACTACTTCGAGAATTGTGCGACGGCATAGAATTTGTTACTGTCACCCGGAGGTCCAGAATACCGAACAATATCCGTAAAACCTTAAATATCTCCCACTCCCAGTGAACTAGACCAATTCCAAGGGAAATCCTCTCTAATTCTGCATCTAACAGGCGTGTGAATCTGATAGTGAGCCTCAAAGTTTGTTATATTATGAATCCAAGTGAAATATTTTCTTATGAACCGATTGCACATTCAACTTAATCATGTGCTTGCAAAAAAATCTTGATTTGTGCAGTTCCAAACTTTGGTAAATATGGTTATCCAATGATCGATTGGATTGGATGAACCATGAAACACACTTCAGTTTCCAGCTTTTAGGTAGAGATTCATGTGTAAAACGAACACTCACGCACAGTTACACGTTTGTGGGGCGAGATACCTGTGTTTAGAGCGCGAGTTTACTGACCGCAAGGTCCGTGGTTCGAATCCGATCTCCGCCTGTCGATTTGCCCTGTCTAGGCTTGGGCAACCTGACAGTATCTTAGCTCTCGTGTTTCCTTCGGGTGGTATAGCCGCTAGGCACCGAAAGGGTGCTGCAGCTGAACGGTTTGTTCTATTTTAGTATTTTTTTTTGGGCATATTTCGTGTTTAGAAAGATACTAAATAGGGGGTTATCTAGCAAATCAATCATTTGGTGAATTCTATCACACCTTTGTCAAAGACTAAGCAAAAGGCTCCGCATACCTCCATGAATCTAAAAGAAGCTCGAAAAACAACCCCGTAAACTTCCTCCTTCGCCTTGGGAATCCATGTGAAACGTTAACTTGCCTTAGATTTTTGTTGAAATGAGATCAAAAGACAAGAAAACATGTCAATCAGGATATCCGTTATTGATTCACCAAGACTGCCTACATTCTTACTCAACTGACTGATGATCAGGCATAGGAAGGAGATCATGCGTAAAGACTGCATTCAGTAACTATGCCTCAATCAACTGGGTTGGCGCTAAGATCTCGGATGTCAGTGAACACTCTAGGATGAATATAAATGAATGACTCTAAAGGTTACTGACATTCGCAAACACCCTCATCCCTTATCATGCAGAACCCCTGTACTGAGGCAAAGTACTTGGTCCAGACAGTACGATAGGGTTGGTGAGAAAAACGGAATGGGTCTGATTGGTATCCAACCATCGCTCCAAACAATCCACATGTGATGAACTGTTTTACATTTATTTGAGGCACTGGTACAAGGTCAGACGGTAGTCCTGGATCTTACCAGGCTCTTGGAAAGGGAATGCTTCAATTTTCCTGCTTTCAACTTTAAAGATTCTGAGGACGGTACTCCAGACCATGTGCGATTATTATGTGGTAACTAGAATGGTCAATTGTATCTGTTACTCAAGAGGCTTTAGCAGATCGACTCTAGTCAGATTGTGAGGAATGGAGTGGTGCGATAAATAATGCGGTGATCAACAGTCATCACATCACTGCTTCAGAATGACAACCAGGAAGCAACACAGCTCGGAAAGCAGACGCACCAACTTCAGGTAAGCCGAATGATAGCAAACTGTCAACCAGAAAATGGCCACCTGAGAAGACCAACAATGAAGGTACGTGTCGAATGGCTAAAACAGAGAGCTCCCGAGAAAATCACGAACTGGATATATGTTAAAAAACATCCATCCCACTATCCTAGCCGATGCACAACTTTATCGGGGAAAAAAGCGCAGCGAGTGTGCGATCATCAATTGCGTTGCGGTTCCCAATCCAAATAGGTATAAACAATCGCGTAAGGTCTATGGCGTGCGTGCAAATGAAACTTTTGTCTAACTGTCCGGCTTCTGGTTATAAGATGGTTAACGTCAAAACTCTAAGAACGCACCGGAAGGCTTGGTCACAAGTCGCCTTGAGTTCCAAACACTCCATCCATGAGTCGTTTTTTTTCATGGAGAATCCCAAACCTCCATCCATGAGTCGTTTTTTTTTATGGAGAATAGTCCGACGCCGCACTCCCCGTTGGGAAATATCAGTAATGATAATATCTGTCTAACGCTTTTAAGGCAGGAATAGTGCCCCATGGTCACATAGTGTGTTGCTTATATTCACAAGTCGATAAGCTGAACCATGGGACGCGTCAACAACCAGGTGTTCGCCAACCGGTGCTTCCTCGAGAGTATTAAAAACCATCCTCGTTGAAACAGTGGCCTTCTCTCATTTTCACGCATAGACAGCGCTTGAAATTCACTTTGGGATGGAAATGTAACCACCACGAAACAACCATAAGATCGGGTGAGACTAGTTTGCACAGTTGGTACAATGATCGCGTCATCAATGGTTGTCAATGTGGTGGGGGTAGTTAGGAAGCACGAGAACGCTGGAATACTTTTCACGGGGGATGTGGACTGACCTGGTGCTCCGGACACTATGGTCACGAAAAACGTCAGAGTAAATGGACATTGTTTTCAGAAAAACAGTCACTATGATAATTGCATTAGGTTGCAAATAATTCTTACGTTGGTGGAAGTGAACCGCCTGCCAACCAACGCAACTTGCACGTAGGGGAGTTCCCAATACATAAGCTCTATAAAGAAAACCGATGAGGGTGGCGTCAATCAATTGACCGCCGCTGGACCGGGTGTGGCAAACAGTGCTGCCAGGACGGACCGTATTGTATCCCTATATAAATCCACATCTAGGTTTTCATTAGTAAGCAAACGATTGCTTTCTGAATAGCGGAAACAAGAGCACCCTGAAAAAAGGCTTGCCTGTTGGATTCCACCACTGTGTGGAGAGACGTCTAAATTTCTCTGCCTCATCAGTGTCGATCGTGGAGTGCGTAGTAGTATCGGTGAAACCATCAGACTGCGCTGCTGTGGTTAGTGAAATCAATCGCTTGTGAAACCGTGGTTGGAACGTTGGTCGGATTATTGTTTTCAAAGATGAGTGCCTCATCCAAAGCCTCACGAATAGATTTCTCGATACGCCGCCGAAGGAAGCCTAAAAGTCGTGTGGAAACAATGAAATCGGCATCTGGAAAATCAACTTGATTTGCTAGAAAAATTGACCCATAAGACGACAACAAAACCACTCATGCTGATAGGGACAGGCCTTCATGTGCCCGCTGCATTCTCATGAACTGTCGAGGTACTACTCAGGAACACTATTGCTACATTCAGATAAAAAACATCAGTAATCTGAGGTCCAACCACATATATAATAAGAAGAATGAATTTTAAAAATACTTTACCAATTCGCTCAGTTTCAAAATACTTCACTCTTCGGAACCAAGTGGTTAACTGTTAGGAGTCAAGGTTCTAGTAACGCAACGTGAAGGCTTTTTGATCCCCTGTCGTAGCCAATGATCACTAACAAAATGCAATGTTCTGCAGCGCGCACTGGGCTACAGCTCATGATCTAATTTCTGCTTCTACCCTCAGGGTTCCCATATGACGTCGGTTGACAAGCAGAGCAGTCCACTCATCAATGTCCTTAGTTGCACATCATGTTTCCTGCATAAAAGAAGGCATGTTCAAATGGTCTTCAAGAAAACCCGGTTATTGAGTTTTCTATTGAGATTTTGTCCTGTAAGTGAAGCTTCTATGCTGAAAATCCGAGATATACAATACAGCTATTTCATCCCTATTGGGAATCATCAGTAGTATCTCACAAATGTCCAGAGAGTTTCCACTCTGCGACCTCCTGAGCAATGGTTTGAACACCACCGCTCGGCAATGAGCAGCCGATCAGCAGTACGGTCGACTCGTACATAGACAGGAGTTTCAATCGTTTATTACACGAAATTTGTGCCACGCATAATCTACAAAAAGGGGCACCAAAACATGGAAGTCTTTTTTGATTCGGAGTCGAAGGAGCTTCATAAAGTACTAAAAGTACCAGCTTTTCTCCACGTAAGCAACCACACTTCATTCGCATGGGACATAACACTGCTCACCTCGAAGACAGGCATATGGGGAATGCCACATAGCAGACATGGAACTGTGTTGCACAGTTCAATCATCACCTTTTAAGTAGGTGATGGAACTTTCGACTTCTTCTAGTGACCTGTTCAGACCCTGATCCAAATCATCAACTTGAGTATAAATTGGGAGCGAATGAAGAGCGCCAAAAAAGCAGTCCCTTAAGTGGTCCCTTCGATTCTTAAGACATAAAACACGGAAACCACTGGGGTTAATATGTTCAAGCCTAGTTATGGTTGCACAAACATTGAACTAGTTACTACGTAAATAGCCGTCCGATTGGTCGCAGGCAAAGAACTTGCCGGAGCTTTGCGACCTAAGATGATTACCGAGAGGATGACAAACTGCGACGCGTAGTGTTAAACCGGTTTCGCATGAAACAACTGAGATTGAACTATCCTAAAGTATTGAAACCGATGACTACAACAGCCCCTATCATCGACTTGGTGACAGAAAACAAACATGATCGACGGTTGCATGGTCAGAGAAGAAAGAGCACATTGTCACCGCCGGGTCAGGTTTTCAAGTTCGTTCCAAAGTTCTGCATCGCTCCCGCTTCGTCTAAAATAAGTTGGCTTCCTATAGACGACATAGAAGCCATGCAGGCGAAAAGTACCGCGCGTGAATAATTAGACTTCTTATTCTCTTGGCTCATTCTATTTCTCCGATGGACCAATACCGGTTGCCTGTTTCTGAGCGCTGGGATTTTTAAATGGCAACCAGGATGATCCAATTCTATGAGGCTAGACTGACAGATACTTTATTGCAGCTGGAGTGGCCTTTCTACGGCGTTTCCAGTCAGAATCGATAACCTGAATATTAAATTAGGCAGATGGAGAGTGATTGGAGTACAAAAGTCAAAAACGAGCCCACAAAAGACCACACGAGTAGGGTTGATGGCGCAGAAAAGGTTGCTTTCACAGTCCGAGCTCCGAAGTGAGAACGTCATGAGTTCAAAACAATTTAACAACAATTTCCGTCCCCAAAGGCCTGATATGCAGAGCTTCGGAAAGCACTGATCGGAGTTGTAAGCAACGAAAGCTGTAGTGGGTTTGGACTGAGGGATCTGTTCACATCAGCATTCAAAATGGGAGGCTGGATGAAGCCAATGAAAATACACCCCAGGAAAGAATACAAGGCCGTCCATATTTTCTGCCATTATTTCACTTCTGATGGATGGAATCGAATGATTTTAGACCATCAAGCAGAAATCCCCACCAATTTACAAGAATACTAGTTTAATAAGCTGGCGAAAAGTGAGGACTGGCGTTACAACTGTTATGTGTGTTAGTATCTCAGGTGTTGCTGGTACCCTACTGCTATACCCGACTTCTTGACCATCTTTCTGTTTGTCATAAGGCTTTATTAAACTAGATTGGCATAGCTGTTGAGCCCCGGCGTTCACCGACAATGTCTCTATCAAAGAGACGTCAGTGGTTACAATGCGAATCTACTAACCCGAAGGTCCAAGGTTCGAACCCGACCTCCGCCTCCTGACAGGGAGGTGGTATTTTAACAGGAAAACGCAGTGTTTCATGCACCTTATATCAATAAAGATGACTTCTGCGGTCTCCCAAAATTGCTGGACTGACCACCTTGCAGCCTTACTCATCACCGTCCGAATGATTATCATTGATGCTGCGATTATCCTCTGGTTTGAACGCTTCCTTCGGACCTGAGCACTATTGGGATTCAACAGCGGTGTGTATTGCTTAAAACTGGAAAAACAAGGTTGGTGTAATTCATTTCTTAAATTAACACGACACTGCAATCAAGTAACATGACGAATGACTGGTTTTGTGACTTCAGTCTCTCGGTTGTCACAACTGTTGGCCACAAACTACTTACGCTCTCAGCCAGCCTGCAAAACAAGTTTCGGATTAAATCGTTTCAGCTTGGATGGAGGACTGCGTAACGAAAACACCAACCACGAGTTGCTCTCATTCCTTCGAGTCATCAGCACTAATTCTTTCATTAACAGATCTGTGACGAGGCTCTTTAAGCAGTCAAAGATACGTTCGTAAGAGGTCAATGAATGTGGCGGGTGAATGGTTGTTCGCACTTTCGCAGCAATGGGGAACGAATTTGCAAACGACTACGTATCAATCCCAAGCTGCTATTGAGATAGTGGCAGAAACAGCAGCTCAATGCGCAGCTTCAGCCACCAGCAACGAACCTTGATTGATGCTCATGGTAGAAAAACTTCGGTTCCTGGTGACTGAGTTTTTGGCGACCAACTGCTGGTCCAGAGTAATGACTCGGTTCACCCATAGGTACCCATACTGAATCTGAACAGCAAAAGTCGAGCGACGGTTAAAATTCGTTCGCCCTTGGAAAGGGCGTGAAAGCAGCAAGGGTAATTTTTTTAAATCATGACCACACGTAAACCATTGGAGACAGAGCTGCATTGACTTAATTGTCGAAAGGCTACAGTGGATGGTGAAAACGGGAACCCAACACTATCGATCCTTTACGTTCAGGAATCTGCCAGTTTCTCTGGAACAGCAATAGGCAAAAAGCACCAAAGCACTAGCCCAGAGATTCTAAGTCTAATTCGCATCACGCAGCCTCACGAGCAGGTTACAAGCAGTCACGTATTAGAAGTGGAGAGCAACTCGAACTACACTTAACAAAGATTCACAAACGTAATCAAGAAAGAGGATGAGCATAACATTGCTCAGTTCAAAGAGGTCAGTTATTGGGAAGCGCGCAAAACGCCTCATAATATTAGGTGACCCCAACCGATCGCCAGGTTCAAAGACGGTCTCGGTCATAGAGAGTATTTGCGTGAAACCGAAGCACCTGATGAGTTGCATCCAGCTGGACTTATCTTTCCATAAAAAGCGCATTTTGAGTTGTGGGACCAAAGGTGTACCTGGATGCAACAAGCGTTTAGGAGGCCACTGTTTCATATTATGTGTCACCTTCACTCTCCCAGGAAGATTTACAAAAGCTTGAGAGTTAGACTTAGTGGTGCAGACGACGCTGCATCAATAAGATAGACCGAAACATCATTCTAGAGATTCGCTACTTTCAAGGATGACGACCTAGGACAGGGTCTTCGATCGGACCTCGAACCCACGACTTTTCGCGTACCGGGCGAGCGCTTTACTGACTTAGTTACCTCGGAGGCTGTCTTACGTCATGCGCATGTACGTAAGATGATTCTGTTTAAAGAATATCCGGAATTTTTGTAACGCTCTGAAGGGACAAGGAAAAATTCCCTTTTGTGCACTCAAGCGACGGAAAAATCATAACGGAGGATCAGTTGCAATTTGGTATTTGTCAATGGCCGTGTGAATAATCCTATTTAGAACGGTCCCGTTTGACAGTGAAACATCAGATTTCACTACCAGTCCAATTCTACCCGTGCGCTGTTTAAAGCTAACGACCCAATCTGGGCTGTTGCTGTATAGGCTGTTCGCAGCGAGTATAGCGTGTGCTCGCCGATAATAAAAATATCTTTGCACAATCCTATCTGTCTTTCTTAATAAGCTAATGTCAATTTATGTAACAAGTTCAGACCTCATAATAGAGATCGCATGACTGAAATTCGTCTATCGGGGATCCAATTACCGGCAAATCAATTCCTTCAGAAGCGTGCAATAAGGTCACGTGCAATACGGTACACGTAATTGCACGGAATTTAACGAAAATCACCTCAATATCAACCAAACTAGGTCGGAACACAAATCAAAAAGGTAAAAGGTGCAGGAGGAGCACCGGTCAAATGAACGAATTGAGAGTAAGAAGGGGGAATTCAAGTTGCACCACCCGAATGAGCAATTGATTGGGCAATACAACTTCACTGCAGTTTAGACCGGGTCTGAATATGTGAAGTTACATCGCAACAGCAGTACTAACGACGATCAGTTGTCCATTAGGGCATTCGTAGACGTATCATGCGCAGACAGGATGCACATACCTACCGATTTGCCATCAGCCGCAGATACGAATCGATATTTAACTTCTTCAAAACTGAGGATAGAACCCGCTCTTTTTCCCGATCTAGAGTAGCCGCATTAACCCATCAAGAAAGCCTAAGAGAAGGACCGCCAAACCTATTAGCCAGAACAGTTACTGGATCATTGTTCGAGGCGTCAGACAACCTACACGCATCACTTAAGTGCGAATACGCCAAACGGTGAACTTGAAGGGATGCAATTCGATAACTTTTTCGCAGACAACTTTCGATTTTTCTCCGCAAAGAACTTATTTGTGACATCGTTCCTGTGCAATGCAAATTGCAAATTTTATGTCATCCAAGTCTGGAAAGGAAAAATCAGTTATCAACAACTTAGGTCTCAACACGACCTATTCATGCAGTCCAATCGACTCCAAATTTTGAAGCCTGGTGGATGACTGTTGTTCTGGAAAAACAGGAACGATCGTGAAAATTCGAGAGCTGTACAAGGAATTTATCAAAGCCATTCATTGAAATGAACAACAAAACGCCCATGCTCACTCAAACATATTTACAAGATGAAAAAGCAACATAGAAAAGTACAAGTAAATTGATTCATCACGGCGTGTATTTAGCACCACACGAGCCCATATTGACAGAATGCGTTGAAAAAAAGAGTGGCGCAAACAGATAATCTTGGAAAGACATTTCATGGTAGATGGACGTCGCCAAACACGGAAATCAACATCAGTGGTCATGATCATCAGGCGACCGACTGTGACCAACAAGGCCCGGTGAGACAGCGGCACTAATCACAGTATCCAGTAGAACAAAAGAAGGTGAACTAGCACAAGGTAGACAAACATGCAAATGAAGATAGACGGCCTGGGAGGAGAGTGAAGGATGAAACGAGGTCCTGTCTTGGCCAGTCGACTGCATAGCAAACGACCATTCGCCATGGAGGGAAGCATTGTACAAAGGGACGATTTGATTCTGCCTGAAATAAGGAAGTAGAAAGCATGAGAGCCACCGCCATGGTGCAGGGCATTGAGAGTGAGACCGCTTGATGAGAGAACTCATCTGAGGATACATGTGCACCGGAATAACACTCAAATTTCCCAGTCGAAGAGACATCATCATCATCATCATCATGTGCAGGGCAAGTGAGACCGCTTGATGAGAGAACTCATCTGAGGATACATGTGCACCGGAATAACACTCAAATTTCCCAGACCAAGAGACGAGACAATCATCAATGACAGCAACATCAGTGTTGGCACTGATGCTTCACTGCCGTACAACCATAAAGTTCGTTTAGTTTATATATATATATATATATGTATATATATATATATACATATATATATATATATGTATATATATATATATTTGT